AAAAACAAAATAGGACATTAAAAAACTTAAAATGTAGCTAATGAATATATATGTAGTTCAAAGCCAAAAGAAGAATATTCTTGCTTATTAACTTCGTCATGTAAGAATTAAAATTAAAAAAAAGTAGTCATACAAATAATAAATAGCAGCAAATGAGGAGGGGGTAGGGTGAGGAGTTATTCTGTGTATATTTTGTCATTGCTGACCACATATATTCCATTCTTATGTTTCATGCAATGTACATACACAGGCATGTCAGGGATGGTTGGTTCAACTGATTTGGGTTCAATTTCCATGTGCATTTATAATGTAGTAAAGTTTCAAATAATGCAAACAATATCTACAGCCCTTTGATTGAAACAATGTTTTAAACTGTGCTTGTCAAAACTCAAATAACTTGTTACCAACACCTTTCACCACCATAAGCTGCTGTAGATTTCTGTAACAAGATATACTGGTCAGCTTTGAGAGAATGTCGCCAAATGTTTCTGGGCATACTAATGGCCTTGTGAACAACAAAATAGAAGTCATGATACAAAAGAAACTCAACTTTGAATACAAACTTACATGAAAAATTCTACAAGTACCAGCACCTGTTTCTTCTTACAAGTTTCAGTAATATTGTGTCAAAACTTTTGAGTTGATGCTTTGACTTTCATCAGTGCTTCATTAAAGCCTATCCTATTGCTGTATTGGTTAGAGCTAACAAGGTGGTGGTAATGAACCTTCTCAAGTGTCCAACATGATAAGATGACCCTGTTTGATGTTACTCAAGTTATTGAGTTCTCTGACCAATGAATCCGTTATTTTAATACTAATAGTGTCTCCTTGTCTTTTCACCAACATTTGTACATTTGGTGTGCAACACACACTCTGAGTCTCTCTCCATCCTAAGAATACATCCAAACTCACCAAATAAATTGAGCTGCTAATATCTAGATGTATAAATAAAGCTGAATTACTACAAGAAACAGACTACTGTATAAGATGTTGAAAAGGGGAAAAAAATATGGATGAACATGTATAATATATGTGTATATATATAAATATTTATATATCAATAGGTTTTTAAGGAAAATGTTTGCACATATATATTACATACATTCACAAAGACCCTAGCACTTGGTAGATACAGGAGGTTAAAGAATTAAATCTTTTAACAAGCAAAGATTGGGGTAGGGTGGTATTGTACACAATGTGATTCTAACTGACAGGAATCATGAATGTAAAAATATGAGCCATGTGTGAACAACATGTTCTGAACAAAAACTGACACACCAAGGGTAGATAATTAAAGAGCCTACGGTTTCCAACAAACAAACAAAATTAAATGCAAAGAAGGGTATTTATTGAAATAATAATATTTTACATTTGAACAAATTAGCATTTTATTTTTGCTTTCAAACTTACTAAAGATATATAGATGCTCACTGTGTAATCAAAGAGAAAAATCAACACATCTTTGAAAAGATAAAACAGACCAGTCCCATAAAGTCTTAAAAATATACAAAATAGAAAAATCAAATGTCTATTTCAATGTGATATGTCTTTTTTTTTATATATGATACGATAGAAAAACAAAATACAACTATCCTTTGTCTTTGAGCCTTTCTTTATACTCTAGTTTATTTCTATATTGATTTCTTGCTTTCTCATGGCTATACAATTCTGACATTTTACAAAATGAAAATAATTTGTAAAATAAATATAACCAAAATAAATCCATTATTTCTGATATTCTGTTATCTGGGAAATATTTATTAACAATTCCATTTAACTTAAGAAAAATAAGATAACATATTTGATTTTCAATAAAATTATTTTTACTTTTTAAACCAATGCACCAGTAGTACAAATAAAGGCTGACAAGGCTTAATGAACAGATATTGTAGGAACTAATTCCCAAGATGTCTCAATGACTCATTTCCCCAAACTTGGTTATCATAATAAAACATAAGATGCGGACAAGATGATTTGGTTTAAAAATAGAAGGAAAAACAAAACAATTGACAAAATGAGTAATGAAGTCTTCAATTTTTGTGTCAAATTATGATCTCAAATCTAATATACAACAAAGAGTAAACTTTCCTAGGGACATACTTTCACAGCAGATGACATTTACAGAGATGATTGGTGGAGTGTAGAAAAAATTTCTGTAAACCCAACCACATAGTCATATATATTATATATAACATAATAGATCATTGGATATGGTTTAAGTCAAGACAACCAATGAGGAGTAAATTTTATTTCATTTTATAAAAGGCCATAAGAGCATACATATTACTGATTTTAATGGGATAGCTCTCTCCTAACAAGAAATGCTTTCAACAAAATCAGATTTATTTATTACAGTTAAATTTCTTATTTTAACAAATATTTTACTTATTTTTTTTTAACATTACATACAAATCATGTATTATTGAAATACCGGTATATATAAAATTGAACATGGGGTAAAAAAAATCTGTTACAGCTTTGTTTAAAATAAAAAGTCAATTGTTCAACACAATCGTACAGTAACAATGTTACAAGTGAACACAAATTATGTAAATACTTCATATAACCACTTCTCATATGTTATGTCAAATGTAAGCATGAGCACATAAAAAGAAAACCTTTCAGCAATACCAAAAATATTAACATAACACAGTCTACCAACCCTTCATTGGCTTATTCCACATATTCTTGTCAAGATACATACATGAAATTAATTCCTTATAGTTATTGAGAATAATGTAGACAGGGCAACCAAAATAAAAGACAACCCAGAAAAAGAATTCGCCAGTCAGCGAATACATGGAATCTCTTGAACGAGACCAAATAAAGTTGACATATTTACATATTAAAATCATCCTTGACTGTGGTGAAAAAAAATATATCTACAGAAAAGTTTTGTTGTGTAACTTTATGTATTTTTTAAGGATACTCACAAAAAAAGTGATGTTCTTACTTAAGGAGAAAGAAATATCTCCTCAAGTCAATTGACAGTAAGTGATTTAAAAAAAAAAAAAAAATTAAATGAAACAATTTTTCCTTTAAGCTGCTAAAATGTAGCTCTGTTCAGATGTAAGTGTCCAATGTTTGAACCAACAGTTTTTAGGGATGACCCCCCCCCCGCCCCCGCCCCCTCCCCAAATAAAAAAAAAAAAAAAAAAGAAGAAAAAATGTCCCCTGACACCCTTAAAAGTGGAATTGATTTCACGGAAAAAAAATACTTAAAATACCACAAAATTGTACAAATTTAAACAAAAATGCAATTACTGATATTTGACATTAAAATTAGAACATTTATAATAAAGAAGTACAATTACTGATTAATTTTTAAAAAGACAAATGTAACACTTCATTAAAAATTAGTCCCAAGTTTTCAGAAACCGTTTAACTTTATACATCATGTACACCATGGCTGCTAATATATTCTGACATCACTGTTTTAAGGGAGTCATATAAACCAGCAACCAATAATAAATATGATCCAGCGGTCAGAGATGAGATAGCAAATCCTAAAGAACATTTGAGGGAGGGAATTCTCAAAGCAAAAAAAGTTTAACTGTTGTTAGAATATCCAAAGCAAATGAACATTATCAAACAATTACAAATGTGCCATTAAAAAGTGATAATGATCCATTAATTAAATCATTTTCACCAGACTTTCTCATCAAATGTCACCATGACATGGTATGAATATTCTGATTAAAAGTATAAAAAACAAACAAATTATTTTACTTTGATTCCTGTTACTCCATATATGATGGATGTGTATATTTTTCAATAAAGAAAATTTTCAATTGTTTTTTTTATAGTCAGTATCCTCTGCTTAGGCAACATAATTCACAAGTGCATTCAATGGAATTAAGGTAACCCTTATATATTTATGCGCAAATGTACAGGGCAATGTACACAAGAACTTTTAATAAGTCGCCAACAGGAAAAGATCACTAAGCCATTTCATGAAATATTTACAGCACTTCAACAAGTCAGTATCCATAACAACACAAGAACTGCTTGCAAATTCATCAAGATGATGGTGGTGAAGGTCAATGAAATGATTTGTCATGTAGCTGGCTGCGAGTGCGCACTTACATGGGCTCAAGTGGCTATTCTATGGTGGCTGCAAGCACTGAGCTATCTTGACTGAAAATAACATTTCTGAATTGGCCACACTAGGAAGATCTCTGACCAGTTCCAACTGGGATAATTTTGGACAAATTTCTTTTTCTAACCGAAGTTCCTTTGACTTAACAATTAGTGAGGCAAATGTCCAGATGATCCATATCTCTCCCTCTCCATGGCAATATGCCTTTGTATAGCTTCATGAGCAGCAGCTTGGGCAGACAGCTGAAAATAAAGCAAGCGATGATGTTTCATCCTGGCTAAAGAAAATCACTAGGCTACAAATAAAAGGGGGTCATCATTTATTCTCATTGATAAAAATTATGTCAAATAATCCAGAACCAGGAACATGATATTTCAACATAAGGTTTCATCAGTTAGGGATAGAATTGGGACAGATAAACTTCGGCAAATCTTTATAATGAGGACAATTATTTAACAAAAATTGATTTTTGCAACAAACAGCTGATAATTTTCCTCTGTCAAAATTTTTATATAAATGCCTCTTATGCCTTAAGAAAAACTATTTCTCCTTCCAATCAGAAAGAAATATAAATATTCCAATAAAAAAAAAAAAATTAGTTTAAAGACTGACTATAAAAAGAAGTCAACTAATCGAGAAACTAAATATTGAATCTACTTTCCTTTGAATACAATTTCAATTTTGGTTTATCTTGATTGTGAAAATTCCTTTTCATATGTTGACTAAGACTGTCACTAACACTAGGATCACAGATGTTTTCATGTATCTACAACATATGAACAAATTCTGTCTATCTTCAGCTCACCTGATGTGCCAAAGCAGGGTCTAAGAAGGGTCCACCCCTGCTGTACAACTCTCTTTGTAATAGCTCCTCTCTGCTGCCAGCGGCAGCGAGTAAGGGGTGAGGCACCCCAGGGGGGAGCACAGAAAGGGGATTAGATGAACCACCAGGTCCAGAGCCACCTGGGCCACCTGCCAATGGATCTGCCCCTATGGAGAAGTAATTGGGAGAAATAATATTTTACAAACAATTGAAGCATGTTTCTTATACAGAGACTGGCCAAGTTTGTGGAAATAAAAAAAATAAATCCTTTTAAGATGTTCCATTGGGTAAGCAAGGATCTATGCATTTGTATATGTTGATGTGGTCACAGCAGATTAATAAAGGCAAAAAGCTAGACAAGCTCATTATAAAAAAAAATTGCTACTTATCAATTTATTGCTTTTCTGCTTCTAAACCTGGTGAGTAGCTTTCATGTTATCATCCTGTCGATAGCATTCTTATTATATATTAAAATGCTCCATAAACAAGAGACATGTTAATCCGCCAGCAGACTTGTATGCAACTATCATCAAAATTCTGATTGAATGGTTAATACATATCTCATAAATCTGAACTATCTATATGTATCGCACTATTATGAAATGTGACCAAAAAATAGTTAAAATTTACAAAGTAATGAAACACAAAATTTCTTTTTCACACATTTAACAACTTTTTTAAATGTGTTTTTTGAAACCAAACACAGACACTGTACCAATAACTCTTACATAGTGTATTATATAGATACTGGTGAAAACAAGCAGACATTCAAATATTACACACGTAAGGAGATAAACCTTGGAGTGCACTTCTAACTAAGCCATATATGGGAGTAAATACTTATACATGTTAGTAAAGGCCTGACCATCAACTATTCATATATATACAACAGATTTCAGAGAAGAGAGTCACTTACAATGAATGAAAAAAATTGAAGAAGAAAAAATGAAATAAAATTTAAAAAACTCGTAATCATCTAAAAAAATAAAATAGTTAATTCAAATAATAAAAATCAAAATCGATAGTTATTGGAAAACAAAACTGAGTTAAAAGAAGATAATGCAACATGATAAAACAAGAAAGTTTTAAAATAAGAGAGAAATAATAAGAGCAGACATGGTACAATAAATAAGTCTACATTATACTGAAAGGCTAAATTAAAGAAATAAATAGAAATAATTCCAACCAAAGTGAAAAAGTTGTGAAACAAAATTCTGCCAATCAAAGCTTTGGGGGGTAGGTTTATACATCTGGGAGGAGCAATCTCTGAGAAAAGGGTTTGGCTTAGACTTACGAGAGAACTGATAGATCAAGTGGTTTGGGTCTATGATAGGACGACTCTCCGGCTTTGTGCGGAGGTAGCATTCGTTGACCACCCTCTGCATGAAAACATGCTGCTCACTAGTAAGGCGTTGTGAGTAATATTGGTATACCATTCGACTGGACAGGTGCTCAGTGGTGGAGTTGGCGCTGGCGGAACTAGCAGCAGCACCATCTGCAACGACAAGGGGGCATAAGTCAATATGGCTTGCAAGTAGGGGGAGACATCCTTGCCTCTGCCAGCTGCCCAATGAGTAGACAGCAACCAATACATTAGCTTCAACTTAAAACTCCTTGCAAATGTGTATCTTAGTTCCTACAACTGAAAAAGTACTAAGCTAACACTAAAGTTGATAACAAAAAAAATCTTACATCTGGGCTATTCAAACTCAAAGTATGCAAAATGTAAACAAAACAAAGCTAACTTGTTAATGCAAAATTGTAATGGTAATAAACTCCAGACTAAAACTTTGTACTGCCATATCCAAACAAAAGCAATTAAAACTCCAGCATCTAAAATTATAGGAAATATTCTGCTGAATGTAACCTTTAAATTTGGACCCCTTTAGAATGTTAATTCTGGCAATCAGAGACTTATATTGAGAACTTCAAACTAGTCCAAACAAAAAAAATAGAGCTCTCCAAGTTCATCTGGTCAAATTTGTGATTGGAGACAGTGGTTCCTGAAGGGCATTGATCAAACAACAGCATCAAGTGTCAACAAACATAAAATTTGCCATAATTACATCAGGAACAAACCGGCAAACACAATTAGGAATGTTAAAACACATTCTTGGCACTTTCCAGAAGTAATGTCAACAAAAATAAAAAATGTGGAAGACACAGACAAAAAAACAAAAGCATTATTTTTGACCATTTGGCTTTGAGATATTGTAAAGATGCTGGTGTCATCTCTTGATGACATGAAAACAATCTGCACTGATTTTTAAGAAAATAATAATTAGATTTTTATCACTGGAAAGGGATAAATAACAGTTAACGACACAATGTCAATCAATAACAATGCATATTTTTTTTTTAGGATTGTTTAAGTTAAAGATGGCACTCCAAGGTCTAGTCCTGTGTCAGCTGTTTGTGTACTGTACCTGGTCCACCTGTCAGGTGATGTGGGTAAAGATGAGCATGGGCTGCTAAAGGTAGGGGGAACGCGGGCGGCGCCAGGCCGTGAGCCTGTGCATGAGCCACGGCTTGAGCGTGAGCCACCTCTTGCTGGTGGAGGTGCAGGTGTGTGTGTGAGTGGGCATGTGTGTGGGTGTGGGCATGCTGCGTGGCCGCGGCTCCTGCAAGCTGCAGACGAGCCACCGGGTCATTGGCAAGGGCAGCGAACCGCTCCCGATCACGCTCGCGCTCTGCGGCCTGGCGTTCTGCAGCTTGGCGCTCCTGGGACAGACGTTCTACGGCATTAGCATAAGACATTTCAGCCAGTTGTGGCAGGCTGACGGTGAGTCCTGTTTGAAGTTATGGTTAGAAACAAAAGTTATTTTAAAACAACTCAACCTTAAAAATGGCTCAGAGAAAACAGGTTTAAAGTGAAAGCATCACTAAACTATCACTTGGTTTACAAATCCTTTTCATTTGTATAATTAAGATTTTTAAATCTTGGGGAATAAGATATAGAGATAATAATCAGAATCATTAACTGATAAATCACATAAATCAGAGCTAATTCCACTTTAGAAATAAAATATAAATTATGAGAGGAAATTCATCATTTAATCCAGTTATTCTGAGCAGCTAGTACAAAGAACTGTTAATAAAAATGAAGAAAAAAAAAAAAAAGGAGCAATATAATTACTACCCACCTAGTCTATCAAGTTTCTCCCTTTCTCTTGCTAATAAGTCACTGGCTAGACTGACAGGGGGGTAGACCCCAGGAAGATGGGATCCTGCCCCGCCGGGGCCACCATGTGGAAGAAGGTGGCCTGCGGAGCCAGGGGGAAACCCCATGCGACGCTGGAGGTCCAGCCAGTTGGGATCCGTCAGCTGATTGGCGGCTCCGGGTGGAAGGAGGCGGTCCAAACCTAAATATGGGAGGAGTAAATGTTCCATCTCTAAAGGGGTGGAATACAATGCAAAAAAAAAATATTTTAACAGAGAGAAGACAAAAATTGAGTCCAAAACAGATGATGGTTTTGTGATGAGCTGATGCACACTTTGTTGCTCTACATACACAGCAACTGGCACAACATGTTTTTCTTTTTAGTTGTGAGAGATGTCAAGAAAAAGCCCATTACTGAAATTTTGAAAATTAATTGCTGTATTAGCTTTAATGATAATATAATGTGTCCAGGAAATTATATCACATCCCTTTTATTTAAACTCTTTAGTTTGCTACATGGATTAAAAAGAATATACAGCATCACAAAGAGTGAAAAAAGCACGTCTGCTGTGGCTGCGCTTAAAAATTTAAAGTGATAAATCAAGTAGAGATGGGAATCAAACCAAACACACCAGTCTAATCCGGCTGACAAACCCGAATAGAACCTGAGCCCTGTTGACAACAGAGCGCGAACTTAAAACATCTCAAATTTATTAAAACTAACAATGTTTTACGAATGTGGCATATCACTACTTACAGCAGATTTTTAAAAACTTTTAATGAAGGCGAAAAAAATTCAACTCCCCAACTGTTTTAAAAATCAAAATAATTTTTTATTATCTTTCTCTAACACCACCTCCTGCATAGGCTTGATTTTTAGTAATATTTTAGTAATAAAAAAACAAAACAAAAAAAAAACAACAACACTTTGTAGCAGACTCTTTTTTCATTAAGTGTCAGCAACTTGTATAGTTTCAAAACAAACAAAATTAGACTTGTGCAATGAACTTTGTGTACCAGATGTCTCAGAGAGCATTCAAGATTGAGAAGATAAATAAGCCATATTGTAAGGTCCTTTCAACAATAAGCATAAAACATTAAAATTAATTTCCCAGTAGAAATTTATGTTTTTTCTAATTTTCTTTACATTTTAGCTACCCACAACTTTATATATATATATGATAGTTACATAAATCCCTGAGTTCTTTTTAGTGCATTTGTATATTTCTATGTTGAACGCTTGTATTTATAAAAAAATAATATATCTTTAAAAATTGAAATGTAACAAATTGCAATAATTACTGAAAGAGCCAAAATTGAGTAGTTGCAGTGCCTAACCTGAACTTTAGTTGGGTAGCTTTAGTTAATAACTAACTAAACAAGCACCTAAGTTTTTACCCAACCAAAGAACTTAACTTGTTACAACCAAACATCTATTAGAGTTTGATTCCCATTTCTAAAATCAGTAAAAAGCAAATGTACACCTAGAGATTTAAGTTACAAAAGATGTTTTACTACTTTTTGAAAGATTTGAATGACTTTAAAAAACAAAACCAATGATGAGCATGAGCAAGATAGTTGGTTGGCGTGCACGACTACCCCAAGTAAAGCTATGAAATTACTTCTCAATCCATGGGAACAATAAAAAAAGGGGGATTGATGTTAAATTCTAGGCCACATTATGGTGAAGCTAATATAGTAATTTTATGAAAGAATAGTTGCAGAAGAAGACAGGTTTTTTGTGCTCACCAGGCTTGAGCTCCATGTCCTGCTTCATCTTCTCTCTTAACTCCAAATCTCTGAGCTCTCTCTCCCTCATCTCTCTCTCCCTTGCATCTCGCTCACGCTTGTCTCTTTCCAGCTCCATCTCCAGCCTCTCTCTGGAACCAGGAGGATACATGCCTAGACGGTAGCCCATCAATGGGTCCATCTGAGGGTGGTGAGGCAAGCCCCCAAGAGAGTAAGGACCCCTACCCAGATCTTGACCAGCAAATCGTAAAGACCAGCTGTCATCCAAACTTTCTCGTGCTGAAAGTGAAGATAATGAATACACTCTGAGATTTTCTATGTTTTAGAAGTTAGGGAATGTTATTTTCATTATGTAATTTAAAAAAAATAAGCACACATTTTCGTTTGATAAATATTTAGGCTAATAGGCATAAACAGAATAAAAGTAATTAATTAATTTCACATGCAGAAAATTAAAGTCTACTGAATCAGAACTATGAATATAGGTGCCATATTAAATTACAATAAAAATTTTAATATCAAAAAGTTTTAAAATGAGCAATCAGAAACAGTAAATTACCAATATGACAATATGCATTCCTACCATAGACATGTGGCCTAGCATATTCATGCAGCTGTCTCAGGGCTGGTGTGTCTGCAAATGGTCTTGGGGTGTGCCTCTCTTGATAGCCACCACCTCCAACATTCATACCATGAGGATGACCACTGCCACTGTTAAGATTACTACTACTACTGCTACTGCTGGATGACTTCTGGCCTTCAGAGGCGGATGTAGCCCTAGGCGGAGTCTCAACCCTCTTCTGTAAATACAATCATATTGTGTTTCAGCAATTAATTTGTGTGGTATGGTTTAAAAAATGACAATGCATGGCATTAATATAAATTGCTCTGTTTTTAAGGGTTAACCAAACGTCAGGGCTATAAGTTGTTGTACTAAAGGCATTCATGGCCAGCACATTTGACATAGCTGAGATTTTAAATGTTTTTAATATAAATTCCACTTTGCTCATAACTTAAATCACAGATTCCCAACTTTTGAGTCCAGCTCATTTTCACGATGCTTATTTTAATTCATCAAAAATAGATTTTTCAGTAAAATATAATTCATTATAATAAACAACCTTCTCCCCCCCCCCCCCACCCGTGAATGGACGCATTACCGTAGTATCTAATCTTTAAAACACCTATTTAGATTCAAAATTACTCTTATTAGTTTACTTTTTCAGCCAGTGACCCCGAATAAAACCTTTTACCGCCCCATTTGGGGTCAAACCCTATGTATTGGGAACTTGTGATTTAAATGGTAATGGTAAGATGAGAAACTTTCAGTAGAAATAGAAGTATATAACTTAAGAGCTATCATTTTGTAGCCCTTGCCATATCCCATCAGCTGATTTTTAAGTAATTAAGGTAAGTATATAAATGAAAGTCAAAAAGGTTTTAAAAAAACAACAAATTAACAAAAAAGAAAAAAAGACAAGAAACCCTTTTACCTTCTCTTCTTTAATAGCTGATGACTGGGATGGCTTCCTAGCCCTTTCTTCTCTTTTCTTCGCCAAGCTGGAGTCAGACATTGGTCGGAAAACGAAATCTGTGCGTGAACATTGATTTCTTTCACCTCGGTCAAAAATTTTCACAAATCTGTGAAACAAAGAAAAAATACATTTTTAGAATTGAACTAAAACTAGTTAATTAAGAATTTAACCTGAAACATGATGACAAATAAAATAATGAATGATTTATTGCAACGAAATATAAAGCTAACAGGTCAAGCATGATTTGACTTGAGATATCTCTCATAAAGCACCTTCCACTTCTCCTCATATAATTCTGTAGATTTAGTCACACTGCAATACTTAGAATTGCGTTTTTTCATAAATATCATTAAAATATCATCAAAAACATTGTCTAAACTTTGAAATCATGCAAATTATGCCTTAGATAAAATATAAGCTCAAACATGTAGAACCTTTTCTTTTCAACTTAAATAAAATATTACAATTTATGCACGTGAACTATTTTCCATTTAAAAGGAGTTGTCACAAATAATTTTGTTGAAATCTCCATCTTAAAAGCAAAGTGGAAAAATATAAGACAACCCTTGATAAATGACAAAACATTCCCAAATCTGAGGTTTGTCTGAGCTTATGTGTTCAATATAGCTGCACATTAGATATGGAGAAATGGGGGTGAGGCTGTTGGACAAATTTTGAGGGGAAACTGTCATAAATGATAAATAACAGAAATAATAGGTGAACTAGTTCATAAGAAAAGAGAATGATGAATGCATCAAAATAGTGGGGTTATTTAGGAATGGCAAGTCAATTTGCTCTTCCATTTGTATAAATAAGATGTTTTACCAGGTTATTTTGTCAGGGGGCATTGTGTTACCCCAAAACAAGGTTTTTTTATAAATCAATTATCCATTTAGGAGAGAATTTTTAAAAATAAATGACATTTTTGAGGACCCCTAAGCCTTTTAAAGCCATATAGACTATCAATTACTAATTTAACAGTGTCTCATTTTTGTAATGTGCTGACTTTTGTTTAAGACACAGTTAAATAAGTAATTGATAGTCTATATGGCTTTAAAAATCAGATTAACTAAAATCTTTTTTTTTCTTTCTCCCCCATTATCTAGTGAATTAAATAATAGAGCACTAATGATGATTTTATTATTGATGTTTGTTATTTTACATACATAGCTTCACTATTTTCACTGAGGACTATAATTTTGAAGTACTTCTGTGAACCCAACATAATTAGGTGCACATACCCAAATTGTATTATAAGCACTTATAGGGAGACAAAGGGAAAAAAAAGGGTGGGGTAGAACTTGTCTGTATACTTAAGTAAGATTTATGAAAGTAATTTGGTTACAGGAAATTTGTTCGAAAGAAATTTTGTTGACGGAAAATTAATCAAACGGAAGTTTGGTCGAATCCTTTTTTCAGTTCACACGATCAAATTTCTATACCCACTATACTATACTACATAATAAAACAAAATAATGCGTTTTTCCAGATCCCTACATATATATCAAAGATGTAACCATACTTTCTAAAAAAATGTCAAAATTTCTTCTTTTTTTTTAGACCGTCAAAATGTAACAAAAATTTTTGTCAACCACCAATGATAAATAAATTGCATATTTTACTTGTAATTTGCTTACGTGACAAGGCATGCTATCAGTAATGTTAGTGCTAGCCTAGTTCTAATTTAATAGTAAATTTTGTAATATTACCAACTTTCTTGTCATCTGATAAATTATGTTTGTAAATAAAAGTTTTCTTTATGGTTTCAATTTCAATCTGGAGGAAAGTATATGGTGATACTGTTTTATTTATTTATTTATTTTGGTCTGCCCCATGCCAATGACCATAGCTTTGTGTGCCAGCTTGCAATGTGTGCAGTAGGTTGCAGATTCCTGTATTATATAACTCTAAAAAATTTAATATTTAGATATATTTTTCAAAAATTTAGAATTTGTGAGTTTAGTCCAATAATTTTTTGAGTAGATTTGGCTTTTTCTTCTTCCTATTTTATGTTCTTTCTAAACAATATAGTCTAAATATAATCATAGACATTATAAATTGATTAAGACCAAGCTATACAAAAACTAAGTTGGTGAAGACTTCTCTATTGTTCCAAACCATGAAATAAATGAAGCTGCTAAATAATCTCAAAATATTTTGAATTGTAAAAAGACAATTTTCCCTGAATGGGAGCTGAAAATAGTCTCTTAATAATGGCATTGATCAAGTCAGCCATATTTTGTGGACTGTTTTAAAACTGTGCAGCAAACTATGGCATTATCTGAATATGTCCTATCATTTTGACAGAAAAAATTGGAAAAGGCACATTTTTTGTAATCTAGAAGCTCATACATGAACACAAAAATTACAGCTTACTTTAATAACTGATGTTATATACTTACATGGCATTTTTACTCTTATAAATCTCTCTGCTACAAGTAGTTGGTGTTGGACCAGGGGTTGTAGATCCACCTCTTCCATCATCCTCATCCTCATCCACATCAATCTCCTCCACTGTGATTGGCTCCTTCTTCACGATACTGTCCATGTCAGAGTTGGAACGGTTCATATGATGTGAGGAGTCTGCCAAATGAGACTGGGCAGAGTGTAAGGCAGATGACAAATGTGATTGGTCAGACGATAAATGGGGCTGAGGGACTTGGAGGACTGATGATGGGTGATGTGGGAGGGAAGACGAAGATGGGTGAGGGTGGTGAGAGTAAGGCTGGAATGCTGCTGGCAATGCTCGGGGATCATCTTTATGGAGCTGTGCACCAGGGGGTGGAGGGTTCAGACCACCGACAAGTCCTATAGCTCTAGATTCCTGCAGTACACTGAGGTTACTATCCATGCGAGATTCCCTGTGCAGGCCAGAAGTGGGTAGACTGTCAGGCCGGTGAGGGGACTGGGGTGGTCCCCTATGATTGTCTTTTGAGTATGAATCTTGTTTGGACATATCTTCTGATTTGGAGCTGTCCCTTGGGTCAATTACTGTAAGGGGTGGGGGAGGCAGAGGCGCAGATGAGGACAGACTAGGTTGTGAGAAGCTGTGTGTCAGTTTGGAAGGATTTTCTGGATGTGGGCGATGTAGTGGATGTGAGGATGAGCTTGTCGAGAGATCTGATGCCTTCTCTAAGGGCTTGAGGGGTGGAGGAGGAGAGTGTGGTTCCTTTTTGATCGGTACCAAGCTTGGCACTGGAGGAGGTGGCTGGTGTGGGTTTCCTGCCACCGCTGATGCCACTGACATAGGATGGAGGTGCTGTGGTAGATGTCCTGCCCCAGGATGCCCACCATAGAAGTAATGGTAGGGTGAGAAGGGAACAGACCCTGGAGGTGGAGGCAGGAAGGCTCCTGGTGGTGGAACAATGGGCTTCTTATCTTGGTCGTCATTCTGTTCCTGCATTCTGTTATGTGGGTGACTGTTGCTATTGCTAGAACTACTACTGCTGGAGATTACTGTAGAACGGCTTGACAATGTTGAAGATGATATAATAGAGTCCACTGAGGTGAGGGCTGATATTGTCTTAGGTGTGGCAGTTGTAACAGTGTTTATATTTGCAGACACATTGACTGATATGGCAGGGACTGATAATTCCGTATGTGGGATAAATGTCCCAGTGGATGAGGCTCGACTGAGCGTTGGGGTTGGTATCACTAGTTGGGAGGATAGATTGCACGTTGTGGGCACTAGGCCAGTATGATTATTTGTTATATTTCCAATACTTGATATATGGCCAGGTGCTGCTATACCTGGTTTGAAAACTGGCAATGGAGATGAATGCCTTGGTGGCCGATGTTGGTGGAGGCTGTTGCCAGATGGGGTTAACGAAGTTGTAGTCGTGGGTGTGGTGGATGTCACCAAAATTGTTCCTGGCACTAAGCCAGTGAGTGGTGGTAAGGATGAGGGAACGGTTGTGAAAGGCTGATACTGCTGAGGGGGCAGCAAAGTTGAAACTGGCTGTCCTGTCTGGTGCTTTGGGATCGCAGTAGATGAAAAAACTGTAGGTGCGGTTGTACTGACCAAGGTAGTGATGTTTGATACAACAGCTGATTCAGGTGGTGTATGAACCTTGGAAGTTGGGGCACCTGACGTTGGAACAACTTGTAGTGACCCCGGTGTTGAAGGTTGAGGTTGTAAGGGTTTAAACCCACGTTCTACAGAACTTCTGCTGGATGGTCTGGAACTGCTGCTTAGCTCCTCCTGTTAGGTAGAAATTTTGTAAGTGTTTTTTTAAAATAAATTACAGACAAATATTTTAAAATCAATTCATATAGCATCATCTATATCAGACAAGATAAATTTTATATGAATGACTATGAAAGAGAAATAATAATCAATTACAAATTACATATTTTAAAAGTGACATCTTCTTATAAAATTTGCCCTGTTGACCATGTTTAACATTACTATCCTATATAAATGTAATAAGACTCACCTGGTTATTGTCATCAGAATCTGCCTCGTTGCCAAGATCTTCGGTACCTGACACAGAACTGCTCTCAGTTCCCGACTCAGAGTCTGATCTTTCCTGTATGACAGAAAAAGGTTTGTTTGAAATCACAAACAGTTCCCTTTTTAAAAAAAACAACAAAAAAACGGAAAGCAACAATCTACACTGGCATCAAAAAAATGAACAAAGTGAAAATATTTCCATCAAACCCATCAAAAGTGTTAAAGAAGCAATCAAATTTTTTTAATCTCTGTGACCTTGCAGGTCATAAGTTAATCTACACTCGCAAAATGCTTGAATGTCAGGCTGCATTAACCGGAAGTTAAAAATTGTGACATATCTTTTTAACTTGACACCAGGAAGACTTAATTGAAGTTTACCATAAAACTAAACAGAAAATTGTCAGCTATTAAAGACAAAATATCTTTAGCAAATGCCTTAATTGCTTTCTATATTTATATTGAAGATTTTTTATCTTCAAAAAAAAAACAACAAAACATCCCTTGATCAATGTTAAGCATTGAAAATGTACCAAAACAAGAAGAGGATGTATTTAAAATATTCTTTATGAAGTAGTATCAATACAAAAAGTTGTATCTACAGACCTTCTTCTTTTTGGAGGTCTTTGTGTCTTCTTCTGTGTTCAGTCTCCTCTTCTTGGCTTTACCAGAGTTGGAGTCTTTGGTTTTCTGTTGAACATATCCAATAAATAATGGGTGGTGAGAAGAAATATTTCTACCTCATTCACTAAAAAAATATAATTGCATTTATCTGTTCATGTGAACATGCAACAAAGTGATGCAGAAGTTCTTTTCAATTTGCTTCCGTTTATTTTACATTAAGAATATCACCTATGGAAATGTTAAAAGCCCAATTTTATATTAAGCTTAAAAAAAAAAAAAAAAAAGGAAAAATAAAAATATAATTGCATTTATCTGTTCATGTGAACATGCAAAAAAGTGATGCAGAAGTTCTTTTAAAATTGCCTTCGTTTATTTTAAATTAAAAAAATCACCTATGGAAATGTTAAAAACCCAATTTTATATTAAACTTAAAAAAAAAAAAAAAAAGGTAAAATGTTGGACTTGCAATGAAAATAAACATACTTAATGGAATATCCCTCTGGGTTCACCTAAAATAACAAACACTCAAGTCAAGAGAACCTTACTATTTACTTACCTGGTTAGATTTCCTGTTGTCCTTTTCAACAGCTGGATTGCTGGGAGATTTCCTGGCAACTTTGCTGCTGTTGGATAAGGCTACTGTTGGAGTTGCTATTGTGTTGGCTATGTTCGTGGGAGTACTTTCCACGTCTGGGCTGCTGGCACTATTTATTTCTTTCTTCTTTCCGTTTGTTGATGACTGTATAGCATAGGGAAATAGTTAATTAAATTATATCCCAGAAGGCTGGTAATTTATTTAAAGTTGAATATCTAGTTTAAAGCCAAATTTGTGGTCAATTCTCAAAGTTCTAATGAACACCTGCCACCCCCCCCCCAAATTGGCCACTCAAACACAAAGAACAATCCCAAAGTTTATAATAAAAAAAAGTATAAAAAATAGCCAAATTTGTGGTCAATTCTCAAAGTTCTAACAAACACCTGCCCCCCCCCCCAAATTGGCCACTCAAACACATAGAACAATCCCAAAGTTTATAATAAAAAAAAGTCTTAAAAAGTCGAGAAATATTATTTTGCTTTAAATTGTAATAGCTAAATAGTGAACCCATAATTTCAACAGTATTAAGTACTTAATACAATGTTATAATGTACAAAAACTTTTAGCTTATAAATTTCACAAAAATGTAAAGAAACCGGTTCTTGAATTAAAAATTAAAGTTCTATTTTTTAAATATTTTCTATGGCCTGCATCAAATTCATTTCTTCACCTGTGTAAACAACTTTAATATTATAAAACTGGTTTCATACAACAAAGATGAGAAATAAGTAGTATGCCATCATGAAGAGAAACAGTGGATACATTAGGCGGATATTATGTAAATGGACTATTGATTTTACTTCAAAGTTAATTGTATATGAGACAATAGCTGTCTCCTTTACACTAGATGGTAACTTAATACCTTTAAACTAATAAAGCATGAGTAAGCAAAGAAAGACAGTGCTTTCTATATCAACTGCTATATGCTGAACAACTATTTTGTAACCAATGATTACTCTTTATTACCACTCTTTTTTAGTTCCTGGCCGTTCAAACTTAAAACAAAAACTTAAAACATACTGTATTATTACTGCGACGTGTGCGCATATTGTGCTTGGAGGGTGTGCTTTCCTCGTCCTCTGGGACGGGCTTGAACAGGTATTGGTCTGGGCTTGTGCTGGGGGGTGGAGAATCTACCCCCGATTCCTCCCCATACTTCTTGTATGAAAGGCGGCATTTTGTGCACAGGACGCCGCCGTCCTTAGCATTGTGCCAGTCTTTGGAACCTGTTAAGACATAGATGGATTTCTTCAGTTACAAAATTCTTTGTATAACACTACTGCTGAAAGGAAAAATAATCAGAGCTTGAATATAAAAAAACTTTTTGAAACTTAATCTAAGTTTTAAAAAAAATGCCATGAGTCATCACAATTATATGAAATTCTCGAAAATATGACCTTGTCACAGCTATAAGAAATTAATCAGTAAACATAAAATTAAACTATGTTTAATGAAAAGAATATTTTTTTTATTAGCTAGTCTAAAGCTTTATTAATATTAATTATCAGATAGGATGTAGTAAGGTCATGACATGGGCCTCACACTAACAGTATCCCCACCAAAAACCTCAATTCTAAATATTTAGGCAGCTTTACAAGCAAAGTGATAAGATCAAATTCATGTATCTTTATCAATGACAAAATATGTCACCAATACATGACAAGATTATTTTCAGAAAATTCTTATAAAATATCTAATCCACCAAAATCGGGCACATTGTTCTTAAACTGACCCACTGGTCCAATCATAGAGTAAGCAATTAACATCCATGTCTTGCCACAGAGAGAAACACTCTAAAAGGCCAATACTATGCTCTTTCAGGGGGAAATAGCAGGAAGCTTTCCATCTCACCCCCAAAAAATCAATATCAGAATCTTAGAATAATGGAGACCTGTAAAAAAGCTTCTGTCTCTCATCAATATGCATTTTATGTTTTCCCCATTTTTTTTGGACAACAGATACTCTTCCTTAAATTATCTCTTTATCCATCACTGGTTCATTTAACTTCTTAGGTAGAATAGGTGGATTGGGGGTGGGGTTGAGAGGGAGTTACTCAATGATAATTCCTGCCTTCTTTTACTGCTGCATTTAATTTAAAAAAAAAAAAAAAAAAAAAAGCAACACAATCTTGAAAGGAATATTTCTCCCTTTACCTGACATAAAAATCATTGTCAATGATTAGGAAAGGAAAACCCTTAAGATTTCTAGCTGCATTACAATATTAATTATTTCAAACTCTAAATTTATTTAAGAATAGCTTAAACTTGGTTAAATCTTTATTTGCAAGTTCATCTATTGTAATATTTAATTTAGCTAATTATAAGACATATGTAAAATCATATTTATTATAATTGTCTAAATAAGTTTGCATTTGATAAATCCTGCAATATTGTGGATGCTAAAACATGTATTTAAAAAATTGTGCCCATCTTCACATGGATAGAAGTTTATAAATTTTTGTTGAAAACTAAATCAAATTCTTAATTCAACTGAGCCGAAGTCGATCATATTGTGTTCAGCACATAAGTTCAAGTCATACACTGGTTTAAATCATTAGAAACGAGCCCCAACTTTTAATTCCCCAAGCAAATGTGAAAAATACCGAAGGAAGTTGTGTGGCCATTTGCTGGTGGTCCTAAGTATCTCCTTTGACTATTTTAAGTAAAATAAAAACTTCCTGCATACAACTTTTGAGACTGCTCCTTTTAAACAAATTGCTCAAAATAATACTTTATGAAAAACTGCTCTTATTAATACTTTATGACATTTTTCAGTTAAAGAGCTCTATTTGTCCACAGATATGATAAATTAATCCATACACTTTTTTAAAAGGCAAAACTTACTTGTAGTGAAGCAGCGCTGGCATCGACTAGCTACATCCCTGCTACCATCACTTTCTTCAGATTCTTCACCAGCCGACTCACTACCTGTACTCACTGTGGAAAAAAAGTGATAACCTCCAATTCAGTGAGTTTGTAAATTACATAAATAGAATGTGCATTGTATGGAAATTAACTAGCAGTAATGTTACAGACACAGTTGGTCCCATTTAGTTCTTGACATAAATGACCATAAGAAGAGGCGTAGCGAGGGTGTTTGGCGCCCGGGGATAAGATTCGCGCCCAGGGACAAGATCCATTTTAAAGTGCCCCCTTTTATTTTTTCAACTCTCAAACCCATTATTTTTATCAATAAAATAATATCAAAGCACATTTTGGCGCCCCTAGCTAGCTGGCACCCGGGGACATCTGTCCCCACCCTCCCAAATATGTTTTGGTCTAAGTCTATAAGTTCAAACTTCAGCATGTCTGTCCAAGCTCATGGTATACGCCACAACATGCTAAGTTTATTAGACTACAAAGTTTATATGATTGAAAGAAATGAAGTAAGTTATGACGCTTTAGTTGAAGATATATCTGAAACAGACTATAAAATCACTACCGTTAAATTGGTAGATAATAATATGGGCTATGGTGTGACCATGTTGATGGCCAGTGAGCTTAATGACTATATAACTCTCTGCTTCCTCCAGTCTGCTTCCTCCAGTACTCAGCTAAGTGTGTCTCCGGCTACGTGTGTCGGGCATGTGTTTTACCAATTTTTACAGCCCCAATGACCATATGAGTTGATTTTTTTAGAATGATTTATTAGTTAAAAAGGCAGCTTTATAGATAATGAAATCATCCCTATTCAAAATGAAAGGAAGAAGAAAATAACTTAACTGACTTCAAGATGACAATTGATCATACTACAACATGAACAACTACCAAACTTAATCTACTTGTGAATACCACTACAAAGAACTTGAACATAACAGATAGCCTCTAATCTCTAACATAGCTCCCACTTGTCTCTCACTAAATGAAAACCATGTCAACATAGTTTAAGAGCACTTACTGGGGTGGGTTTGGAGGGGGGGGGGTGTTACTAGATTTAAGCTGAGAAAGAATCTTGTATCATTATGGGTATAATTTAGAGATATTAAATTTCATTGGAAAGATTGCAGTAAAAACAAGCACTTATTTTCTCAGGCAACAGGGCATCCATGGCCTATCAAGGATTTCACTCAATGTTTGACAGTGACAGTGAAACCAAACACCTTGCAACTTGTCAACAAAAGCCTGAGATCAACCAGATGGACCAAAATGCTAATACATACAAGCACAACTGCATAAATCTCCTCTTTCATTGCAAACTTTTAAGTGGATCTATATCAGTCAAACAAAAGGTGTTTGTTTCACCCATGTGCTATATTTGATAACCAGCCACTTAAAATAGTATACACAACAGTTTAACAATTAATCAATTTGTTAAATTGAATTTAGAGTGAAGAAAGAGTCATTGAATAGAAATTAAAAAATAGGACACATCTATACTTTACTATAAACTTTGGGAGTATTAATTAATTGATAGGAACAGCCTACTTTCAGCTCTAATGATGATTGAAATAATGGATGGAGAAAAGTAAGTAAATTCTGAGTAAACTGATCATAGCTTAAAAATATAATAAATTCAAAAGATTGCTATTCTGTGTGATAGAAGCCTATTTTATGGAATGGGCCAGGGGAGCACATCAACGGCATAAACATCTTACAGCTTAAGTGCATTAAATGAAACACATCTGCCTAAAGAAGTTGATCACAATAAATGCTTAACAGGCTAACTGTCCCAGTGAGGAAACATTTGCAAGGTTTGTTACACGCACATAGCTTGTACCAGGTAAACTGTGTTGAAATTATCAAGACAGGTGAGCGAAAATGAGAAACTGGATTTAATAGCTATCTGAAATTAAGCCTTTTTACAGTTAAAAAACAACAACAGGAAAGCAAATGATAATCAGAATTCCATCCTTTGCTGGGTTGCTTAGCTTGTCTTCTTCCTACTGGCAAACATAGCCAAATCATATATATGATGTAAATAAATATAAAAAGGAAAGATAGCACACATTTCCAAATAGAAATAAAAATTATTTTTTTTTTACAAAGCCAGAAAAGTTTTATTTCCTGCTTTCATAAATGTTTTGAATAACTTATAGAAAAAAAAGTGTATATATTTAGCTCTTTAAATTATTGTAAAACAGTTATTTATTTTGTGTAAGTGGTTGTCCATGAAAGTTGCACTTGAGCCAATAGAAAATATAAACGTTATCATATGCTGCCATAAAAATTATTGATTTAACGTCATTGATAACATTAAAATCATCATAATATGAATGTGGTTCTCACATGTTCCCAATATTTTCTCTCTAAAATGCTACAAAAAAAAAAAAAAGTTGCACCACAATGTTTCTGTTTGGTTATTTCACTTTGAAATGCACTGTCTTTCTTTGTACCACCTTGAAGAATGCAATATTTGATTTTAAATTCTTAATCTACATTTTATAGTATAATTATACTGAATACATGAACATAAGATTCTCACTAAACATTCTACTAGTAATTGATAACTTCTTGTCAAATGCAGGCTTATGGGCCATCCATAAAGTAAGTATGCACTGAGGGGGAGGGGGTGTCCAGTTTGAAGATTGAGGACGTGTGTGCGTATGGCCCGTACATTTATTTAAAAATTCTACAATAATCATTCGAAAATTCTAGCATATTTTTATATTTCGAATGCTGTAAATATTTCACGCATTGTTGTAAAGGAATTATCGGCATAATGTTGCCATGTATTTCCAAAAATGAACTCGCTAGAAATCACCAGCAGTAGAGGTATTACGGTAATATTTAGTCCACCGTATGTTCAACGTGCATGTGACGTATATTGTGTAGGGCTAAGCCAGTGGTTCCTAAAATGTTTCGATCCCCGGCGCCTATAACAAATTTAGGTTTTCACAAGGCTCTCTGTGTTAAATTCAGAGTACACTTGGAAATAGCGAATACTATATGTAGGTCACTAAGCGTCATCTAGTAACTGCAAACAGTAGTTACTCTAGTGGGTTACGGTTGGCACCACGACAGATAGATGTCACATTGGATTAAACGTGGAAATACAATTATGAAAAATGTGTAATAATTCGTAACGCCCTGTGAGAAGCCGTAGCAAACCATTTTATTATAGCAAAATACCCCCCTCCCCGACGATTGTTTTAACACCCCCTGGTCTTTGTGAAGTATATAGGATTTTACAGTTTAATTCAGTATTAAGGTACTATCTAAAGACGGCCCTGTCCTTGGGAAACGGGCACCCAGGGCGATGCGGCGTATATTCTTGGAACTAATGACTCACGGAACAGCCATCGGTGAAAACACGTGACACATTTTATTTACTGTTGTAACGTCGCAATTTTATAAAATTATTGGATTTTGCTGGTTCTTTTTTTCCCGGAGGTGCGGGGGGTGGGGGGGGGTGTTAGCTTATAAAAAAACGCAAAGGGTCTTCAAAAAGTATGCTGGGTTGAAAACTGCTCTTTTTTTTTTTTTTTTTTTTTTGCTTACGTACTATATGGCTGACCCGTATCACAACCCTTCAATCCAATGGAACACTGAAAATATTTTATGTCATCATGTGCACTGGTAGAAATTTAAAATCCAGACATAAAATTAATTTCATTCTTTGTGAATTAATTGCTCAGAGATTCTTGTCTGATAAAATAAAACAACACAGATGGGATATGATTATATGTTGCAGAACAATTAAACGCGTGTCCCCTGGACAAAATTACTTCAGCTGTACTGGTTATGTTGTTTTTAAAAAAAAAAAAATTAAAGCTGATCCCACTCTTTTAAGTGTGAGAGCACATGACAGAGTCTACAATAAACTATTTACCAGTATATGGTATAGAAAGATCTCAATAAAAGTAAATCATAAGAAAATAGAGGTTTAAAGAGGCATCACAGGTAACATCCTCTTTTTTTTTTTTATTATCGTTTAGCATCCTCGGGGTTTTATTACTTGTTAGTGGCCAGTAGCCAAACACAGGTTATAATACATATTCTTGATTGGAAATTTGTTTTTTAGGTTACGTTACTTTATTTGTAGTGATTTTTATGGAGCCCGTTCAGTTGATATTTTCTGGATGAAATATTTGGCATCTCAATTATATTGCTTAATAAAAAAAATCCATTAGTTGTGCATTTTTCGAGAGGCTCTATCCTGTTTTGACACAAGCACCCCCCCTCCCCTTAAATGGCCCATTAAAGCGACCAACATCTATAGTGGCATACATTCGTCTTTGCTTTATTCATTCTCTCACCCGGAATTTCACGGAGGACGGGGTGGGTGAGGTGGTTTGAGCCAGCCAGCTGTGAAGGCGCGCACAACTGAATCAAAGTCAGACAGAGCTGCTGTGTTCACCCCAATTCGCCGCGGTACAAGTGGGCAATAGGCATCATGCAATATCCCCCCCCCCCACCAACCTGTGGGGTGGGTGAGGTGGTTTGAGCCAGCCAGCTGTGAAGGCACGCACAACTGAATCAAAGTCAGACAGAGCTGCTGTGTTCACCCCAATTCGCCGCGGTACAAGTGGGCAATAGGCATCATGCAATACCCCCCCCCCCAACAACCTGGCACAATAGCTACCTCAGCCTCTGCTATAAATGTTTAGTCAGGGGAACAGCTGCACACCTTGAATAACAAAGACAGTTTGGAAAGAACCTGCGGCAAATAAGACGATCATTTAATTTCTATTTTGCCTGCATGGCATGGCGACAGCAGCTTATTTCAAATACATTATGATCATATTTTTACGGCAAATAGGGGATTGAGATTATTCCATACTGAAAGACCAAGTGTCTAGTAAGAACGAACACAGTTCCCAGCTTCAACATCGTAATAGGGATTTTTATAAATAATAATAAAGACATGGCGGAATAATAATAATAATAGTGCCACTAATCCTTAAAACATTAGTAAGAACGAGTTATTAGAACCGTATTGAGGGAGATATGATGAAGTCTCCAAGCAGATAAGAGGGCTGTTTAGAGTGGTGGATAACTCCCCTCAAGTGGATTATTCCTAGGCGTCCAGCAGTGGTCCGTCCGTAGTCCCCGAGTTAAGAACAATGTTGTGCTCCAACTAAACAAAATCGATCGGTCATTTGTTAAGGCCGAGAAGGGGGCCCATTCAGTCACCACAAGGGGCATCGGGTAAACAACGGTTAGCACCGCAGCTACACGAAATATCGAGAACGTGGCTGGAAGGATGGAGAAGGCAACAACGCGTAAACGTGATAAAAAGAAATGAGTGTGTGACAGATTCAATGTATATGGCTTATTCACGAGTCAACGCATTTATCACTAGACAACAATATTCAATACTAAATATAGCCCGTCAAACATTGGCGACAGCTATAAGGGAACTTCTCATCTGGCCCATCTACTAAAGTTAATTGACAAAACGTGAACTAAGCTATCAAACATGTAGAGTTATTTGTAATACAATTTCAAAACCAAAATACGCTGAATAGGAAGCAGCCATAAATGGAAGCAGTAGCAGTCCACGAGTCACACCAGAAGCGTAATATATATTCGAGATGACCAAAGAAAGAACGTTCAATTTATGCACACACAAAAAGCCAATTATACCATTTTGTGGTTAAAATATCCATTGTGAAATGGTTTAATGAAAAACTGATGGTTAACATTTACGGCGAGTCTAAAATCATAAACAAATCGGCTTTTAAACATGGAGGTCTCTCTGTTTGTACACTCCCCCTCATCCCCCAAATAATATATAAAAATAAATAAATAAATATATGTTTATAAACAATGTGGTTGGTTACTATGACGCATTTCCAGCCAATGCCTCAAAATAAAAAGTTTATGGCATAAAAATCCTTGAAAATTTTGACTAATTTAACTAACATATCAAATGTTTAACTTCTAAAAATTGCATTAAAACAAAAGGGTGTGACTTGATATTACTTTATCGTAAATTTTAATAAATATGGAGAACAAGAATTCTGACAATTTCTTACATCTACTACTACTACTACTACTACTACTACTACTACTACTACTACTACTAGGGCTGTGGAGTCAAGGGGTGGGACATTTTAGGGAAACATCCTAAAATTAATCCCTCAAAACAGATAGGACAAAAACTATTTTAAATTATTAGCAAGCAATAACAAATTTCAAGCGTTAACTGCCCCCAACAGTTCCTCAGTATGCCGCTCATATAAGCGATGACCATTTTCTGTTAACATAACATTAATGTATCAAAGTGTTGTCTGCATTTATTTTAACTTACTGCATTTTGTTTACATAGGAGAAGTTAACTTCCAAATGCCCGAAGAGGCTGGGACCACAAAGCATTTTTTGGTATGTTATTTTCAACAAATTTAAAAAAAAAAAAATGCATGTATAAATTTGAGACCCCTCTGATTAAGGCATGGTCTGGTTGACACCCCCCACACCTCAAAAAGCTTTTTCACCAGCCCTACAAAACAGTTGCAGGAACACTGATCATAAATGTTTTTCTTTCACAACATGTATATATTCCAGAAAGTAGGTTAGGGTAAAAGGTAAGCTTTTTGGTGAAGATGAAATTAGCAAGAGTATAGTATTAACAAATGACTGACCTTCGTTATCAGGCTGGTTATTTCTTGGACTTTGTCTTTTCAGCTGCCTTCGATGCCTGCTTCTGTAGGTTGGTCTTGAATTGTTGGCTGCGGGAGACTTTTTCCAGAAGTAATAGAACTCAACTAGCTCACTCTGAAATAAATTTTTTTTTAATATTTAAAATTAAACTGTATTGACTTTTTGAAAGGTTCTTATAAATATTCATCCCTCGTGAAATCTTAGATTATGAGGCTCAAAGTAATATGAATTTAATATTCCATAGAAACGAGTGAAAACGGTTACAAACAAATATTCATAATTACTACTTGAAGCTATATATAAATAATATTTTGCTTTCACACTGCAACTCTAAAATGGTGTTAGTGAATGTTGATAATTTGTTTGACTGTGTCATACCATGCAAAGAAATTGACAATTATTGTTTAATGAATATTTGTGTGTGCAGAAAATTATAAACGCAAACTTGAACAAAAGAAGCCAACTTTTGCTAACCAACCAATGAAGTTAATAACAGCACAACTACTGGATATGTATTTAGGTGTCAAAAAGATTTTTTTAATAAATAGTTAATAATAATAATATAGACATATCACTTTGCTCATATTCTAATGCAAAGAACTTCAAAGAAGACATTATTCAATAAGCTACAAAAAATCCATACTTCAACATAAAATTCAGAGTATGTATAAAAAAATCACAAGGGACAACAGGCAAGAGAAATAAAATAAGTTCTTGCTTTACTCATTTATTAGTTATACTCATAGATGTGACCAGATTATTAAATATTTATAGGAAATTATCTTTTGTGCAGTGTGTGTGGCTATACAAAATTGTGACCTGCAATGTAGGTATCTGTTCTGGGGAAAATAAGGAATTTTTATGATAAGACATGCGCATACAGTTGTCACTCGCCTTTTTGCGCTTCAATTTTCTTGGTTTCACTCTATTGTATTTTTTTTTCAAATGTAGCATGTATTCATTAAAAAGTTGATCAAGATAGTGAAAATGATACAGAGCGCGCTCGGCTGTCTGAGTCAATTATACACCTAAGTATTACTATTAAAATTACTGTACATATGGATTGTAGGCCTATGTATTTGAGCATCCCCAAAACGTCTAATGATGTTAAAAACATGTTTAGAAGGTTGTGAAATGGTTTTCTATTCTCTATGAACATATTGGAGTTATAAATAAAGAGTCCTACTTCGTGAAAATTCACTTATTGGGGTAGAGTCTGGAACTGATTGACCGCGATATATGAAGGACCACTGGATATGTATTTTTTTGTTAGATGTTAAACTTTCACAAAATTTATGATACATTTTTTTGAGATTTCAGGTAACAAAAGAACAAGCAGTTTGTTAGCGTCAGAAAATGGGTTAGTCTTTTTTCATGTAGCATTCCTTTTATCAGAATGGATCTATCCTTGCAATTATCAGTTTAGCACTGTAGAACCTCTACTCAAAAGGGATATGTAAAGCCTTAGCAAAAGTTTTGTCATGCTACAACTTTGTTAGCCCCTGGGAGCTAAAAAAAAACTCTGCTTTAACTCCCATACATCCAGACTCAAGCACTGACAATAGTGGCAAGCCTGTGTGTGAAAGCTCTATGGTGACAGATAAGCTCCTCAACCTTTGAATGTCTCAGTGTTGTGGGTTACCTGTCAATCATGGTTCCTAACTGGTGTCTAGCTACAGGTAGACCCAGGTAGGAATGCTCATTGACATATTTATTCCCCTGTACAGGGGTGGGATCAGGAAGTAATGATGGGGGTTTCTGGTATGAAGAGTTTGTGAGGGGCCCAGTTTAGATAAACACAACTGGAGATGTTGCTGAACATACTTTATGGACTACCTTTGAAAATATAAGGGTCAATAAGTGAAAATGGTTATTTCAATCACCTGGTACCTATTATGTCAATATATACTATTCTTTATGTTTTGGTTCCAACTTGAGTTTAGACAAGTATGGGTCTTCAAGTTGGGGAGGGGGGTGTATTCACGTTATTGTTAAAAATAAAATCAAACACTACTAATTTTCGTACTAAGATATCCATTTTTTTTTTTAAAAATCCAATAGTTAAAGACTAGTTAATCCACCTGATCATGGACTTTGAAGAGATCCTTGAACCTACTGAAATTTTCTAATGGTACAGTATGCAAGAAAATTTAGATCTTCCATTGTACTCATTCTTAATGAAGGGAGAATCATATGCTATGGACCAGACAATATTCCAAAGACATTTTATGCATGGTTTCTTGGGTTGTTTTTTAAAAAGAAGAAAAAAATGCTATCAAAACTGTAATGTTTTGTTTCAATGGTAGATAGTTCAAAATTTTCCTAAAATCAATTATGTTGAATGTTGGAGAGGTGTGGATTAATTTTTCATGTCAGTAATAAACAAAGCTATTTTATAATTTCCGTTATTAAATAAAGCATAATATATATTTAAAAAAAATCTATACATATAAAAATGAATGTCAGTATGTATGTCCTTTATGTACTCCTACACCATTCATGCGATTGCAATAAAACTTTGAAGAGTTGTCCACAAGCCAGCGCATTTTTCTAGGACATTATAACCCTTTCAAAATATTCAGTTTTGGGCCAAATTTGATTTTTTTCTAATATGAGCTTTGTAAAAAATAATATCCGTATGCACTCCTATACAATTTATCCGAATGTGATAAAACATTGGTGAGATGTTGTGATCCCGCCCGCAAAGGTTTCTGAACTATTACAACCATTTTAAAATATACTGTTTTAAGCAAGGGGCCCTTTGTTCATTTTTTCTTACGTGAGCTAAATAAATATAATCTAAAATCACATGCACCCTTATACCATTCATGCGATTGCGATAAAACTTTGGCGAGTTGTTGTGCGCACGCCCGCACAGGTTTCTGAATTAGTACAACCATTTTAAAATATTCCGTTTTGAGCCAGGGGCCTTAAATTTGTTTTTTCTATTATGAGCTATATAAATATAAAATGTATGCGCTCCTATACTATTCATCCAATTGCGATAAAACTTTTATGAGTTGTTGTGATCACACCCGAAAAATGTTTCTGAATTATTATAACCATTTTAAAATATTCCATTTTGAGCCAGGGGCCCCAAATTCGTTTTTCTCTAATATGAGCTAATTAAATATAATTTTAAACAGAGCTACTTCATGGTTGGATAGAATTTTAATCAAATACAAATAGCAACATTAAATTTTGTATGTTTAAGTAGGTTTCTGAAGTAGTACAATCATTCTATAATATTCCATTTGTGGCCGGGGCCCTATATTCATATTCCCTCTTATATTAGGTATATTAATATCATTTTCGTAAGCGTACCTATATCATTGTTCCGATTGCGACAAAAATTTGGTTAATTGATATGCGCTCACTCACAAAGGTTCCTAAATTAGCAAAACCATTTTAAAACATTCGGTTTTCGGGCAGCGCCCCTTACTTATTTTTTTCTTATATGAGCTATAGAAATATAATTTCAAAAAGAACAATGCATTGGTGGATGTTATTTTAATCAAAAGCAAATAGCGACATTTCAATCTGTGTGTGACGTAATAAGTAGGTTTATGAATTGTTATAACCATTTCATAATATTTCCTCTGGGGTTGGGAGCCCCCAAATTTTTTTTTTTTATTATGTGCCCTAAAATTATAATTCCAAACAGTGCTAACGCTTGAGTGGATGGAATTTAATCAAATACAAGATATTTCCGTTTGTGTGTGTCATAATTAAGTAGATTTCTGAATTTGTACAACCATTTTGCAATATTCAGTTTTTGGCCGGGGGGGCCCTGAATTAGTTTTTATCTGTTATGATCTATTTAAATATAATTTCCGTATGTGTTCCTAAACCATTCATCTGATTGTGAAAAAACTTAAGTCAGTTTCGTGCACCCCGAAAAAGGTTTCAGAATAAGTAAAACCATTTTATGATATTCTGTTTGGGGCTGGGGGCCCTTAATTCGTTTTTTACTTATAATGACCTATGTAAATATCATTTCAAACAGAGCTATTGTATGGGTGTATAAAATTGATTCAAATACAATTAGTGACATTTCAGTTTGTATGTGACATAAGTAGGTTTCTGAATTAGTACAGTACCTCCATTTTACAATATTCCGTTTGGGGCCAGGGGCCCTAAATTTGTTTATAAGTACTAACTGAGCTATTGCATGGGTGGATCAATCGCTACACACTACAAGTGTGTGGACTAAATTTTGAACATCCATGATTCTCACATGGACATCTGTCTGTGGCCTGCTAACACTGCGAAAAACCTAATTTATTCGAGTACCCACCCTACAGTTTAAAAAAATGTTGTGTATAAAAGTACTTCAAAAAACATAATTAAAACACAAACACTATTTCTTTGAGTGGCACTGCAACTCATGCCAGGTACTCGCTAGTACATAATAAGAAGAATCAAAGAAAATGTCTTATATTTTTAAATTTATCCACATTATTTTTTAGTCATTGTTTCTAATTTTGTTTTTTATAAATGGAATTCAATTTAGGTGTAATAACTTAATAATCTTAAAAACACCAAAATCAAGTGGCAAGGTTGTTGTCTTTCAAAACCAAAAAAAAAACAATTTCTTTTAATTTTTATAAAATTGTTTAAAGGTGGATGTTAGTAACATTTTTTCTGCCTCAAAAATGTTAAAATAAATTTTTAATTTGATTTTTCTTTAAATCTTGCAAACAACCTTAAGAATTACAATTAAGGTACTGTAAAAATTTGAATTGTAAGCATAAAATCTGCAAACGTGTGATCCATAGCACCTACACATTAAAGCAATTTTACAAAAAGTTCAAATAAATAATGGAACTCAGATGTCTTTTTCCGAAATGCAAAAGTTTTCATATAACAATTATTGATAAAAACAAATTAATCAAAGAAAAAATATTATGTAATTTAATAAGTTTTTTTTTTAGATTTTTAAAATTAATATAATTTAATCCTGCTTGATGTGAGGGATGGGAAAGAAGGAGGATTTTGTGTAGGATGACTTTCACTGTCACTAACTGCATCACTGCCTTGGGTGTCCGAAAGCTATTTTTTTTTTGGTTAAACATAGAACGTCTGTCTGTGTGGCTTTCTTCTTTTGGAAAAAAT